TTGAATGATGTTTGTGTGATAGAACAAGGATTATTCGGATATATCCAAACTAGTGCTTTGGCACTTAAAATGGTGGTTGGATGTTGTACTGATGCTAAGTGACCCACACACGTCCTAGGTACTCAAGAAGAGAAGATTAGCTTTGCAAGGTACCAATGTTAAGTTACCTAAACCTACCCAGGGTATCATAAGATGATGATGCTATGTGACACAAATCTTACCTAAAGTACCCTTGGTAAACAAATAGGGGTGTAAGTTCTGTGATGTTATGGTGACCCCGAGCCACGCCATGATGCTTACTTGTTATGTGATAAAAGTAAGCAAGATTAATAACTGTGCATGTAGCATGCTCATATGTTGAATGGATGTAGTATAGTTAGGTTATTTGTATGGCATTGAGCTTGTGAGCTCAGCGTATCGAATGTGTTTTCGTGCACATGTTCTTAGGTTTTAGTTTGAGGAGCTCATTGCCATATTCATTATTTTCAGACTCAATCTTTTATTAGAGAATATCATGAGTATTTTAGAGGGAAGTTACTATCATAGACCCTATTGTATTATAGAGTCATAAACTCTATTTTGTTATGTATTTTTGAGACTATTGTCGGGAGCTCCCCCATATTTTGTAAACATATATAAATTGGTATTTTTATTGCATTTCGAATGAATGAATGTGATGAAAATTTAAAAAAAAAATGGTTAGCCACTTAGATGGCTCTGTGTGGTATTCTAATCAACCGAATTTCATATCAGATCAGATTAGGGTGTTACATTTCGTATTCTCCTTTTCCAAAAATTCAGATTGCTTCTGACTACCTTAATTTTTTACAAAGTCGAGCCATCGATTTGCTTTCAATTCTTTTCAACAATCAATCAATACACATTGTCACACCCTGTGTTTTTTAATAATAATAAAATAATAAATTAAAATTTGAAGGAATCAATTTAATGAAATTTGGGACCAAATTGAAAGTTTTCAAAACTTGTAGGCCATTTTAGAGAACTATAGGTAATTTAGGGACTTAGTCTCGAATTTCTCCATTTTTTGTTGGTAGAGAAAAAATGAAATTAAGTGGTTTTCGTGGGATTCAAACCCCTGACACCTAGTATGTCCGCTCACGCCCTAACCATTTAGGATAAGGTACTGTTGTTGATTTTTTGGGTAAATATATTATCTAAAGCATTAACTCGGTCATAACCAAAAATCCCCAAATTCAAACCCCCAAATCAATAAATTTTCCCCCCGCTGGCCCTATCCACCCCAAATTCCCTGTCGTCAATCCACCATGTCATCGCTGCCATCTCCATCCGACTTACCCCTGTTCAACGACCAAAAGACCCTTAACCCCTACCAGAATTTTCCGCCAATCGACGTGTAGAAATCATCAAAGATTCATCATCCCTAAACCCCAAACCAGATTTTTTTCTCAATTCCATCCAGTCCAGATACCTGTTCACCTTACCGCCGTCGCGGATGTGCTTGTCGTCCCGTGTGCCTGAAACCTAACCCTTGGGACGTATCGTGGCGTCGTTTCATCGTTACCGGAGTAGGTAAGCTCGGGTTTAAATTTTGAGTTAATTTCCTTTTAGTTTTACTTGATTTTTTGTTTGATTCGAGATATTTGAAGGTTGTGTTGAAACCAAAGTTGATCGACCGACAGAAAATGCCCACGCTGCCGCACAGACAGTGCCTATGGGATTCATTTGCTAGTCCAGGAGTCTTCTGGAATAGGTCTAGTCAGACCGAATCGAGTCAATTTGAGTCCACTCGTTTAGTCAACTCAGTCGAGTCAACTCGAACAGAGTTAACTTGTTGACTTTGACTGACCGTTGATTTTGACCATAGTTCATCATTGACTATTGAGTTTGACCAGAGTTGACCGTTGATCATTGACTTTGACCCAAAAAGTCAAATTTCTTGAAAAGTCTTATTTTATGTTTTTCAACATCCTGAGTTCGAATCCAAAGTTCGTTTTGCAAAATTTAATCCCGGTAAGCTGTTTTTAGGAATTTTATCTCCCAATTCAATACAAATTTTCAGATTTAAGTTCTGTTTCTAATGTAATTGGTTTTGCCATGTATCCGATACATTATGGGATGTGGAATTAATATTTGAGGGTGATCAAATGGAGTTTAATTGGTTAACCGATGTGTCAAATTGAATATGGAATAAAGGCGTAACACTTTATATGACTCAAACGGCTCACAAAAGAAATTGGTAGATTGATCGAAAACAATTCTAAGTTCAGGAATAGTTAGTAAATAAATTGACCTCATAATCCAAAATTCTGATTGATTTCTTTAAAGGTTAAATGTCGGGAATACTTGATTAAAGAATTACGAGATTACCCCTATGAGGTTAAAATGGTCCAGACTGACCCTGATAGTAAAAGTACCCTGTGAATTCGTAATTAATCCGACAAACTATTGATTCACCTATTAAATTTTTATTTTTATTTTTGAAAAGTCACTGACATTCAAATCCTAAAATCCAATAAGGTACAAGACCTATAATTATTGATTTATCAACAAACAACTAAAGACTAAAACATCGAGAGTATTATTTATGTTTGAATTGTTCAAAAAATTGAATTAAATGAAAAGATTGGATTGAAGTAAATGACCAAAATACCCCTGAAGTGTAAAATGACTATATTATATGAGAAAGTTAAACTGAATGGAAGTATTGTATGTAGTTGAATCGTTGAAATGACCGGGATAAACTTGAATAATAAATTACCTAAGTACCCTCTATGACCTAGAATTTAGTGGATGACTTGGATAAGTCTGGAAACACTGATGAACTTATATGTTGTACCATCCATAAGGGTTAGGAAGCTTAAATCAAGTACATCGACATTTCTTGATAGTGTTGCAATATAGAAATGAAATAAATACCTTTGGTCTACCTGTTCGTCTCCCTAAGATCCATTCAACATTGATTCTGAAGGTGATCAGTTTCAAATAGAGCAATCAGTATTAAGAAGTGAATAATGGTGTAGTACCTCTATTTGAATGATTGGCAAGTACCGCAATTGAGATTGGATAGTTTAATTGGACCCAAAATCCTGATAATTTGATATAAATCCTAAATAATATAAATTGTTGTTTCACTCTCATTGGGTTAAATTACTAAGAATTCTTCAAGAAACCAAAATGTCTATAATGTCTCTAATAGCCTGAATAATGGAATCACTCCTATCATATCTGAAATCTCTAGTAACTCTGATGTAAAAGATTATGAATACCTTTTTGATTACTTAGTGCCTCCGAAAAATATAAGAATATTATATGATCTTGATAAATCACTTCTCGAATGACTGATGAATCCATTGGATATTAAACCCTTTTTTTATAAAGATCATATTTCTGGAATCCTATCAATTTACAAAAGTTTCGCGGTTCCCTACCTGATAAATGCCAAGTATATCTGGAAAATCATTGAATCCCCTAGTGTGTTCCATATGTGCTATATAATTGTTTTATTTGTTCTGAAATGTGATTTACTGAAGTAATTGATTAACTGTGTAACACCCATAACCCGTATACGCGAACCAATACGAGTTACATATGTCACATCAAAAATTCAAAAACATTTCTTTAAGTGAAATGAGTACAATTTTGTTTCATTCAAACATCTCAAGTTTTATAACTTGAACAATTATTATAAAATAATTATTCGAAGAAAAATCATAATATAATATTGTGTTTACCAATTTAAAACCAGTTTCAAGTAGTGATATACAGCTTTGTTCTGTTTCATAAAATAAATACAATTGTCCACCAAGTTTGGTTTAAAACCCAAATTAATTTTATTTAAACATTGTTTATTATCATAATATTTATTCATACTATTAATTATATTTAATACTAATTATATTAAGAAATTTCAAACATTTCATTCTCATATACATGCCAGCTATAACTTTTAGAACACAGTAGGATGTCATCATTTTTCGCGGCGGTGAACAACGAAATCGGGTTTTCTTGAAAACCCGAAACTACACCTCTTCCCCTGATGCTAACGGAAACAACAATCGACAAACCAATGGTACTAGGAGAATAAAGAAGAAGAACCAAACACAATGGTGCCAGCGGTGTGGTGGCAAAATGGAGTAAAAAGGCCCATAAAAGCTTGGTTGAGAGAGAGAATAAAAGAAAAAGAGAGAAATTGTTTTGTAGGTTTGTTATTTAAAAAAACTGAAATGGGGAAATAACCAAAAAGATTAAATGGGTTTGAATGATTAAAACTATGGTCTAATTATAGTGCAAGTCCCTGCACTTTTAAAAAGTTTCCACATAACCCTATCTTGGGGTGTGAGATCTCGATTGATTCTTTTTTGTCATGAACTAGTCCACCCTCATCACATCAATTGTTGATGAGAAAAATAGGGTGTGTGTGGTGGTCTTTGATGACTCATCCCTACTGGTTTGGACGGAGAGTCACTGTCAGTTGCTTAGTAGACTGAAGGAAATAGTAAACAATAGAGAGGTCGAGATAAAGAATCTGAGTCGAAAAGAGAAAGTTTATCTCCAACCTTGCATGGTGACTTATATACAAGTCCTTAGTGTTGGTGTCAAGCCTAAAATGATGATGAGTATTTATAAATTGATAGGCTAAATAGATGTTGTTGTTAGATAATAGATTTAGTTGATTACATGTGTTTGTCAGTAGTCATCTCAAGAAACTGCAATTGGTTTAAGGATATGAAATTCTTGAGACTTCGAGGAACTCCATAAATTTTTATAAGCGAAGAAATCACAACTAAAATGTAATTTCGAGTAACTTAATAAATCAAGATTTAGAAGTACTTAGACTTTATCATTTTTTTATGACGTTAACATTTACATTAATTGATTGTTCCTCAAAATATCCAAAGAAACTCAGCACACATATTTTAATTGTGATTGATTAATGATAAAAAAACATAATTAAAAAAATATTAATACATTGGTCAAAATAGATTAATAAATTACTTAAGTTTAAATAACTAGTCACAATACGCGCTGTTTTTTTCGTTTACTAATAAGTAGGTTCACGAAAGGCACATAAAACCGTTAAAGACGGCTTAACCCATTTTTTTTAATTTATTATTTAAACCACTAAGCCCTCACCTTTTAATCGTGGCCACCGCCGCTTCCGTAAGTATCATTTCCAATATTTTTATTGGTTCTATCAAGATTATTATAATCACCAGAGCTGCTGTCATCCCCTCCCCCGTTTCCGCCATCTGCGGGGCTGATCAGACGAGATTGAGCTTGGTTCAATGCTTCATTAAAGTCCCTTAGAGCTTCCTCGACCAGTTTCTTCATGGTTTCCTCGTCAAGCTCCTGACAGTTGTTATGATCACCTCCCGCTTCCAGTACAACGTCCAACAAATCATCAGCAAGTTTTTGCATGGCTTTATACATCGAAACCGCTCTCTTATGTTCTTCAATCGCACTCTCCACAGAACTTAGCAGTGCTTCCATGTATGCTTTCTCCTTTCGCATTATTACCAGTTCAGCTTTCAGGGTCTCAAATGTATCCTGTATATCCAACATGCAAAATAAATAAATAAACGTATAACAAGCAAAAAGCTAGCGTTGAACCTACGTTGCATGCATGGCCTTCAAAAAGGGGAATATACCGGATTGTACAATATCTGCCAGTACGATAGGCGCAAATTGTATGTAAGAGATAAACTTCTAAAATTTTACGGAATAATTTATTTTTAGGGAAACGAATGTTTCACCTCTTTAGTTTATCTCTATCTACGAACCACTTATATGAAAAAGTAAAAGGAAAGATATAAACTGAGAATATGAAGCAAAAATGTTACCATCAGAGCGACAGTGGAGGAATTGAGACTTAAAAATTGTCTGGCACATATGAGGATAAGATTCAGGCAAAGGAAAGGGTTACATTTATAGTATCTTTCAAGAAAACGCGTGAAAATGTGAAAATGTGAAAATATAACTTTCAAGAAAACAAGTTTTCTTTCCTACTGCTGTTGTGGTTATAGTTCAATGTATCCAAAAAGGAGAACAAAAGTCATCAATTTTCATTTATATTTTTAAATCAACATATAATTAGAGGGAATAAAATTCGATTAGATTTGAAATTTTTTGACTCAATTTGATGTTAAAATATATGGTTTGATTTGACTCGAGTAGTAATTTTATAAATTTTAGTCGATTAAAAAGATTCAAATTCAAGCTGAGTTATAAAATATAACTAGAATAACTCTAATTTATTTTAATAATTAGTGGTTTATTTTAAAATTTGTGTCAAATTTCTCAACTCTACACTATATATGAATATTACATATAAAAAGTACAAAGAAACATATATATGTGTGTATATATAGTATATCATGAGTAGAGGTAGGCCTAAATAGGCTATGATCCCCACATGCCAATAAAAAATTATAATTCTATAATTTTATTAATTTTAACTTTAATTATAATTTTACTTAATCAAAATTAAATTAATTAGAGTACTATTTAGTTTTCAATTTAGCTACAATTTTTTCTCTTCAAAATTTTAAATTAAGAGCTGCCTTCTTATAATTTATATGTTGTGATGCTTTCTCTTTTATTTATTTATATTCATCATGTACTTTTCAAATTCAAAGATTTCCTTTTAAAGTAGAAAGGTAATAGAATATCTTAATTGGGGTTTTATGTTTTTGATGTTCTGACGTAGGTTTTTTTTTTTGTTTTTTTCATTCTTTATTTTTATTTTATTCTTTAATTACTACTTATGAACTTGTGGGGTTATTAAGGATTTTTTAAGCAATTTTTCAATATAGCCTACAAGATTATAGTACAAATTTAAAAGGTAGTCCTCATATCTTATTTTATTCCATTAAAATTATTTAGAATTTTTTCTTCAATCATAGATGATTTTGGTTCTATGAAAAAGAGAGTTCATCTTAATTGATGAAAATATTATATTTCGAACTATATACTTTTACAAAACTTTAAAGTTCTTTTAGAAGACGTATTTATACTAGTTTTAGTTGTTATTAAAATTTTAAATTGAAAGATTATATATGAGTAATATTAGATAAATTTTTATTATATTTATATTGGCTCAATCAATAATATTTTTGTGAATTCACTACTGTTGTATATGGTTATAGAAAACTGTTTAAATTTGAATCCAACAATATCATAGAATTATAATTATATATATTTAAATTTAAACATAAACTTGAACAATTCGATTCGACTTGAAATTTATAAGCACGATTTAAATAAGAAAAGTTAAATAATGTTTGAGGTATAAAAACAAACTTGTCAACTTGACTAATTAATTTTTTTTACTCCACTTAGGGTGCGTTTGGTTCACGGAATGTAAGATTACCAGGGAATATGATTACTGGGAATGTTGTATTTTGTGTTTGGTTGGCTTAGCTGGAATGTAAGATTACCGTGTTTGGTTAAAGGAATAAAAGATTATTGGAATGTATATTTGACCAAATTGTCCTTATTATATATTTGTTTTTTTTAAAAAGTTGGAAAATATTTATATATTTTCTTTAAAAAAATTAAATTCATAAAATTTATATAATTTTTTTACAAAATTTAAAATATAAAAAGGTTTAATGAAAGGGTAAAAAATTTATTTTAACCCTTGAACTTCATATAAAATTTTAATTATAGACTTTTTTGTAAATCTAAAATAGTTTAAGGATAAATTTGTAATTTAACCTTTATAGAATTTTTATTATTCAATTACAGAAGAAATATATTTTTGAAAAAAAAATTAAGGGCATTTTAGTCCAAAACGTCGGTAATCCAACAATACCTAAGGAAATGGAGGTAATGACATTCCCGGTAATATACCTAAAAAAATCCACTATTAGTAACCTTATATTACCATAAATGGGGTTCCCGGATTAACCAAACGGGGAAATGTGGATTTCATTCCCATAGGAATCTCACATTCCCCCATCCAAACATCCCCTTAGTTAAATACTCACCCCTACCTACAATGACTATATGTTAGGATTAAAAAAATAAAATAATAATTATAAGTTGATTTAATAAAAAAACTATATTATGTTTTTAAAAATAAAATTAATTATTTAAATATTATCATTTAAATAAATTAAATTAAATTAAAATATATTTTAATAAACTTTTATTTTATTAAATTAATAATTAATAATTAATTAATAAATAAAATATGATATACTTGATTATAAAAATAATAAAAATAGCTCCATATGTAGATGTGATATAATTTTTTTATTAAAGTAGATGTGACATTTCTTAAAGTAGATGTAACATTTTTTTTTACAAATGGGACCATTTTGCTTGTTGTCATTTTTTTCATTTTTGTTGATTGAGAACTGTATTTGATTATTAATTTTGATGTTAATCGCCTGTCATCCTTATTTGATATCTTTTTAACATATATTTTTTTATTATTTTATTTTTAATAATTTTATCATTATGACGTATTTTTTTGTTTTTATGATATAATTTTTTTTGTATTTTGATATGGTTTTGATCCTTTTTATCAATCGTTGGGTCATTATATTTGTAATCATATTGATTTTTCTTGCTTCGAACAATTAAATTAAATTTGAATATGCAGTTTGAGTTTGAAGATAGTTTTCTTTCGACTTTCGATTTTGATTTACGATTTTTGGTGATCTTTCAATAATATATTTTGTTATTGTGGTTCGTTTGTCAATGTTTCTGTGTATCATTCTCTTAATGTTTCCTTTTTTTTAAATTTACCTGAGACTTATATTTTTGTTTATAAACAGAGAATTTTACGCAGGTATTACTTTCCATTATAGACGCGCATATGAAGACTATCCAACTATGTATTTATTGATTTATTTATGCATGCATTATATTTTATCTTTCTTTTTAATTTTCTTACTGTCGGAGGTCTTCCACGAAAGCTGCTCTCAATCTGACGTTGGGGGCAGTCTACTACCTCACCTCCCCTTACCTCATTTACATATGAGAATAAGGTTTTGTTGTTGTTGTTGTTGTCGTCAATATAATTAGATCTATTTGTATATATATTTTAGTCGATTATTTTTAAATTAATTTTTAACCTTTTAGTCGTATTATTCTTATGAAATCATAAATAATTAATTTCTCATATTAAATGATTATATCAAATATTCTATTTATATTTTTAGTATACGTTTAGTTACATATAAACTTTCAAAATATTTTTTTCTTTTTTAATAAAATTTACCACTTCTATTTGTATTAAAAGAGCATTTATTGAGTACAACTTGTTTGATTTACCAGAATGTTGACCTCATAATTCAACAATTTCTTTAGGTTCTCAGTTTTTCTAGTACATTGAATTTGTACTCTTGACGTCTTAAGACATCAACCACGGGTTCTGTCTAAGATAGTTATCGATGTCTCGGTTCACCCCGCTTTAATTTCCCACGTGATATTGTAATGTCAACCTTCAATTATTTAAGAGAGTAAATTATATTGGTAGTACTTAAACTATTACTTTTATTTTATTTTAGTCACTTAATTATTTTTCAAATCATATCTAACAATGTATTTTTGTTTTATTTTGGTCACCTATAGTTAAAAAAAATAACATAATTGTTGACTTTACATTTTTAAAATTTTTCAATGATGATGTGCCATTAACTTGTGATAATACATCATCATCACCGTTATTTTTTTAATGGAAGATGACCAAAATAAAATTAAAATTAAATATTATATATGTTTTTGAAAGAAAATAGTTAGATGATCAAAACGAAATAAAACTGATAGTCGGGGGTACTAAACATGTAGTTTACCCTATTTAGTATGAATTGGAAAAGTATTGCACGTTCAAGAGAGCAGGCAACTCAATACAATTAAGCAAGGATTTTTCTACGCTCGACGAGCAGCGATGATCACAACTAACGATGAGCACATATAAATTAATTTATAAAAAATTAAAATTTTAAAGGATTGAACATATAATTATAAATTAGTTAAAAATGTAAAGGTAAACTATTTAGAGTAAACTATAACATTGATCACTCAACTATTTAGCCAATTTAATTTTACTATCGATATTTCAATTTTGTCAATCAAACCACTTAACTATTTAATTGATATCAACCAAACCACCTGTCGTTAACGGTTGACGGAAGTGTTGAGGTGGTAAATACAATTTTTGGTTTAATAATAGATTTAGTCCATGTTACTTATATATTCTATTAATTAGATCCTAATTTTAATTTAATTCAATAAATTTAATCTTCTAATCAGATTGTGGCATGTGTCAATCTTTGATTGGAAGTCATATATATTTTAATTTATTATTATTTAATAATTTTATTTTACTCCAACCATAAGGCGACACATGTCACCATATGATTTTAAGAAAAATAAAATATATAAATATGGAAGTTTGGGAATCGATCATGGGTCGTTGTGCAACCAAACCAACCACTAAACCAAGTGCATGTATTTAATTTCATAAACTAAAGGAGGGATTTCCAAGTATTTCTTTATATACGCTGAACCAAATAGGGGACAAACAGTGCTGGAAGAAATTAAAAAATCTACAAAGCTTTTACCAACGTATGAAAAGTTTGAAGAAGATCCATGATATTTGAAAACTTTGATGGATTGTGACATCGAAAGAGAGGAGAAGCGAGTGTTTTGAAAGCGCGTAATTGCTCGAGAGGTATTCACAAAAGGCAGTTATTGAGATTTAATTAAACCAAAGAATAATATAACATATGTTGACATATATATAAAGATAAAAAATAAAATATATTTTTCAAAGTTAAGAATTTTTTAAACACTATTGGTTAAAATATATTATTTTAATATATATATATATATATTATTCTTATTTTCATTCAAAAATAATTTAAAATTA